AGGTTTCCTTGTATTTCAGGTTCTAAAGATAGTGCAAACAAGCCCCGCAGGTTCACGTTCATGGGAGGACTTGTTTTTAAGGATCAGCAACAGTTAGTTTCTTTCTTTCTTTTCCTTCCTTCCTTCCTTCCTTCCTTCCTTCCTTCCTTCCTTCCTTCCTTCCTTCCTTCCTTCCTTCCTTCCTTCCTTCCGGAATGCTCCAATGTTATTTGCCCCATTCTTGAATCTTATACACTATCTTCTTCTAGCATGTTCTTTGAAACGGGACCCAACTGTGGTCAGGTCCTCCTCTTTATAATCAAGTGCCTTCAGAACATATCTTTTGAAAGACAGGATCATTTTTTTGGTCTTAAATACATTAAAAAACACAAAACAAAAACAAACAAACAAACAAACAGTTAACTATAAAGAAAGCAAATGATTTTGATTTTATTTTAAGAATAGGTATCTTGGTGAACTTGGTATAAACTAATGGTTAGAGCTCTGGAGTCCAACAATATATATTTAGTCCATCTGTGCCACCAACTATCTATGTAACCATGATCAAGTCATTTCAATACTCTTAAATTTCATTTTTCTCTACTGGGAAAAGTTCAGAATAATGATAATCATACCTACCTCACAGGACTAAATGGTATGTCATACAGTTCTCAAAATCTGGCTGCTGCCATCATTACTACCCAAGTGTGAACATCAGACTAAAGGCCAGCTCCCACGTAGGTTCATCCTTTATTTAAACGGCATACGCAGGGTAAACAATTACAAGTCCCTTATGCAGAAGACATGGATTATTTGTGCATTGTCTAACATTTGGAGGGAGATTTAGAAAGGAAGAAAACAGTGTTTTTGTTTGTTTGTTTTGTTTTTGCTTCAATAACCCTTTTCCCTTTGGGTCAGCCATCATTCCATGAAGGATGCAATTTTAAGAATCATTAATTTCAGATCATATTCATAATGCAACCAGCTCTGCTGGACACTGCACATCCAGAATGGAAGGGACTGCATTGTCCAACCATTCCTGACCTTTATTACATGCTACTGTGCATGCTGGGGTTGGGTAAGATGAGATGGAAAAGGATGACAGGAGGAGAACAAAGCAATAGTTTGGGAGAGCAGGAGGGCTTCTCTGTACTTGGCTCAAGGACAGAAACAATTCATATGATAAACAGTCTCCAAGTTAATATCCTGATAAAGTGGAAACAGATACCAAAGCAGAGATATTTCTGCTTTTCCTCCCTGATCATCTACCTGGGAGTAGCCCAGTTCAGGCCAGTATTGTACCAGACAATTCACCACTACTTATAAGACGTGGTGTCTTTCAAGTTGTCCTGTTTCCTTTCAAAACTGTCAACAGTACAAGACACTGAGAACAGGCTGAAACTCCTAAGTCTCAATTTAGAGCTCTAGAATTCTTTGTTTATTAATTCCTTCTGACATGGCCCAGATGTCTCTTGGGTAATTAGTAACAGAACACAGGGTTAGTGTAGCTGCCTCGTGGTGATGGGGATTCATTATGAATGATTACTCACTTATAAAATTTAAGCAAGTCTAATTCAGTTTAAACCCAAAAGCACAGCACAGGGATCATAGCCCTCAGACTTCTGTACCTGTTTTGTCTTCGTTGTATTTAAGAAGCTACCAAGTACACTATGGTAAGGCTGACTTTTTTATCCATTTGATATGGAGGTGAGTTTTACAGATCATAGATAAAGCCTACTCATCTTGGAAAAAAATGAGGGAAGCCACAGAGATTGGGCTAGTTTACATATTTTCATCCCTCAAATATCAAGATTCCTGAGGATGCCAGGCTACCCAAGCAAGTTCAGGGCTCAGAGCTGAAGCTATGAATGAATGGAGTGTGCCCTCATTAATTAGATGAATTAAAGGGTGTTGCTGGCTAAGAAATTCTGTCAATTCTTCTTTAAAATGTCTTATCTAATGTTCTGTTCTCTATCTTCCCACTGCTATCAGCCAGATGCTTGTTAACTCATATTTCAACAACTGGAGTAGCTTCTTAAATAGGCTCAAGCTGTTCAATTGAATTCAACTAGTGATTTTGGGGAACGAGGCACAGGTCTGGCCTCGGTGGCTTCTCTGTCAGGTCTTCCACCTTGTCTTCCTTCTGTTCAGTCTACACAGTGACCCAGGAAACTTTTGTAAAGGCTAGTTTTCATCATAGTACTCCTCTGCTCAGAAACCTCAACAGGCTTTCCACTGCCACAGCAATACAATCTAAATCCTCGGATGCCTTGCCCAGTGAACACTCTCTCAGTACATCCCGAGATGGGCCTGCCCTGGCTCAGCCACCTCGTCACTGACCTGGATGTTGGCCCTTCTGAGTCTTTATCCAGGGTCTTCTTTCCTGGAATGCTCTTCCCTCATTCTCTATAGATGCCCTTCATGCTCTAAAGGTCAGCTCAAGTCTCAGCCTTGTCCAGTAACTTTTCATCAGATTGCATGCACTGATCTACAAGGATCACTCTTGGCGGTAGTCATTTTGCCACCCTTTAAAAAAAAAAAATTTGACCCTTGGACAACACAGGTTTGAATTGCGTGGCTCCATCATATGCTGATATTTTCCATAAATAATTTTTGATTCACAGTTCAGAGTCTGTGGATGAGGAGGGCTGACTGCATGCATTGTTCTACGTTAGGGGACTTCAGCATCCTTAGAATTTTGTATCCATAAGGGTTCTGGAACCAATACCCCCAGAGGCTGAGGGACAGCTTAAGTTTTTAGGGAGTTAAAAGTTAAATGTGAATTTTCAACTGAATGGGGGGCCAACACTTCACACCCATGCATTAGTCAAGAATCCACTGTATATAACTAAGCAATTCTAATTTTAGAAATAAATTAGGGAAGACTCGAACATGCTTGCTAGTATAAAGAAAAACATGATGTTGAGGATGTTTGCTATTGTGTTTTTCACAAGGAGAAAATGGAAAACCCATAAGAGGTCAATCGAGTAAATCCTGACCTACACCAAGCAGCCAACAAAGTCATGTGCATCTTCACTAACATGGGAATCAGTTCACAGTATATCACTGAGTGCACAGAGCAGTGATAGCAGACTGTACAGCAGTATTTTAGATAGATAGATGGGTAGATAGATCATAGATAGACAGTCAGGGGTACTCTCTTGGAAGGAGGCTCCCTTCTGAGAGCATTTTCTCCTTGTGGTTTTCTCTGCATTTAAACTTTGAGTCACTGAACGAAAGTATTATTAATGAACTGGACAGTATAGGTGGAAATTTGCCCTTTTAATCCACAAACATCTGCAGGGATGCAAGCATACATTGATAGAGTAGTTTGACACAACTCCATGTTTAGGCTGGACTCTAATAAAACTCAGCACTGCATGAGAGAATCCCATGATCCTGGAATAACATTCACTGAACTAGGAGTCTAATGTCTAGTGTCTAATTGTGGCTCAATAGCAGCCTTGGAAACGTCACTTATTTTCTCGAACCTCAATTTTCTATTATAAAATAAGTGTATATTCTTCCCAACCTCTATCCCCATTCCATCTTACAAAAATGTACAGAGATAAATAGAAATGATAAGAATACCAAAGACGCTGTAAAAAGGCAGTCGATTAGCATCAGGTGGGATTACTATCAAGATTGGAGAAACAACCCTCTGAAATCGTTAGTCTCTGATACACCACAGCCTTGAATCCCAGGGTATCAAATTCATGTGCTAAGTACAGGAAAGGGCAATTTATTGGATATCTGATTTAATACTGTGGGTACATTAGTTAAGTAACAATTTAAAAGTGAAACGACAAGAATCATTTTAGAACAACAGTCCTAAGCTTACTCTTTTTTTTAAAAATATATTTATTGATTTTTTAAAAAAATATATTTTATTGATTTTGTACAGAGAGGAAGGGAGAAAGATAGAGAGCTAGAAACATCGATGAGAGAGAGTCACCGATCAGCTGCCTCTTGCACACCCCCTACTGGGGATATACCCGCAACCAAGATACATGCCCTTGACCGGAATCGAACCTGGGTCCCTTCAGTCCCCAAGCCGACTCTCTATCCATTGAGCCAAACCGGTCTCGGCTATTTTATTGATTTTTTACAGAGAGGAATAGAGAGGAATAGAGAGCTAGAAACGTCGATGAGAGAGAAACATCGACCAGCTGCTTCCTGCACACCCCACACTGGGAACGTGCTCACAACCAACGTACACGCCCTTGATCAGAATCGAACCTGGGACCCTTCAGTCCGCAGACCAATGCTCTACCACTGAGCCAAACCGGTTTCGGCCTAAGTTTACTCTTTTAAAAATATTTCTCACAATACTTTACAGATATTGTCTTTGCTTTTTAAAAATTAACAAGTTTTTATTTTTATTTTTATTGATTTCAGAGGAAAGGAGAGGGAAAGAGATAGAAACATCAATGATGAGAGAGAATCACTGATCAGCTGCCTCCTTCCTGCAAACCCCCTACTGGGGCTGGAGCCTGAAACCCGGGCAACCTGGAATCAAACCCTGACCTCCTGGTTCCTAAGTCAAACCACTGAGCCGGTGCTTGTTTATTTATTTTTTTTCTATTTTTAAGAGAACAGCACAGATGTAAATTTTAATAAAAGAAATATGCTGACTTTCACATCAATAACTGAAAGACAAAAATTTAAAGCTATGACAAACTCATTATGAAGGAAACAAGGTGCTACTCTTTATTTTTGCCAAGATTTTGACATGGACCCTCACTCACCTAGATGGGCAAATGGCCTTGAATTACTCACATAGATGCCGCTGTACACATTTACAGATACACGTGACTGATGGCTCTTGGCACATGACTGGTAGGTGTATATCGAATATTTCTTGACACAAAAACCGAGACACACACGGAAACACCCACATGTCCCACAGAGCGGCCTCCCGAGGAGGTGCAAGGGCTTCAGGTGAAAAGAAAGAGCAAAGGTTCTCCCTTGAAGGGAAGCGGGGAGTGGGGGGGGGGTGGACAGGGACCCCAGAGACTCACCTGTCAAGTGGTTGGCAATCCTGGCTGTGGGTTTGGGAGGCAGGGCGGGGGGCTGCTTGAGGAGGGACAGCTGCTTCACTGGGGTCTCCTCATGGTCTCCAGGGAAAGCAGCAGGTTTTTTGGGGGGCAGTAGCAGGACTGGTTTGGCAGAAGGATCTTGGGACAGGAGGACTCCAGACTCACTGGCAGAGGGACTCTCTTCAGACACTGAGGGGACAACCACAGGACACACAGGAGACATTACACAAATGCAGTGCGTGGGGCTGGCGAGCACACAGGACAGGGGTGTGGCAGCCACAGGCAGGCTCTGGCTCCTTCAGGTGGTCATGAGTATGTGGGGAGCTGGAGGGAACCCCAGAAACCCCTCTCCAGAGAATCGGAGGCAGGAAAGGGAGAGGGGGAGGATCAAGAGGGAGAAAAAGAAAGAAGGCATTTTCTCAAAGTTGTCGCATCCATCTTGGAGGTTATAATACTGATCCTGTGGTCCTGGACTGGTCTCTAGAATGCAATGATCCACAGACACAGATGGCAGGGTAATGCGTTGGGGATGAAGCGCCTCCTCTGACCCGAACCAGTGCCAAACAGCAGCACCTCCCTTGGGGCCTGTCGCCCTTTGCTAGGCAGGGAGAGAGAGCGGGTTCTTGTTTTTGCATGCTGGGTCTCGTCCTTGCTCCCAGGTCTGGGGCGCCAGGGAATGAAGACAGCCTAGAGTTTGAACCGGGGGGAGGGGAGGGGGGGTGCCCTACACATGTGGGGCAGCTGCTCTGGAGCCCCCTGAGCTGGTGCAGCCTCTGGGGGGCCAGCCTTTTACAGGCACCTCCCTGCCCCTGTGGCTCCTCTAAACCTCAACCAGGAGATAGATGCTCCTCAGCACCTTTTTGTCTTCCCCCTCCCTCTCTCCTCTTACCAGCCTGAATTATGGTTTTCTTGTTTAGATTTGCCCCATTTCTCTCTCCCCACCTCCCCCATTTTTTTGTTAATCATCTCCTGAGGCTATTTTTCCACTGATTTTTAGGGAGAGTGGAAGAGAGAGTGAAAGACAGAGAAACACATTGATTGGTTGCCTCCTGCAGGGCCAGGGCCAGGGTCACGGAGGAGCCTGCAACCTTGATTGGAATTGAACCCGAGACCCTTTGGTCTGCAGGCCAATGCTCCATCGATTGAGCCAAAATGGCTAGGGTTCGCCCCATTTCTTTTTGCTCTGCCCTGAGCTTGATTTTTCCTTTTCCCCGACTGGCTCCAGTGAGGAGCTATCTTGGGCAGAGGCAGAGGCCTCCTGGCAGATGACCGACTGAAACTGTGGCTCCACTGGGATGTCAGACCTCACCATGCCCATCAAAGCCATCTGATCAATATTACAGGGAATGGTGGATAAAAACACAATTCACTGCTTCATCTGGGAGAATCGCCCCAGCTTGTGGGACCGGGGATGCAACTCAGCTGCCTGTACTCCTTCTTCCCATCGCTGTTACAATAAGAATGACCAGACATGACTCCCCTCTGCACCCTCTTCCTCTCTGATCTGGGTAGCAGTGTTCCTGCAGCACTCAAGTCCTGGCAATAATGCCTCTGAGTGCTCAATGCTCCCCCGTCCTGAGGGACACTGTTATTATCAGCGTGGCACACACCTGGCCCCAAAGTGAAGCCCATGACCTGACTTGGTGAGACACCATCTCTGCCATCCTTTTACCTGAACTCTTCTGAGGGGAGTGGGCACCTGATGTGGAGAAAGGACGTGGTTCTCTACCCACGCCAGATCTTCCGAGAGGTCCCTTCCCCCGTGCATGTCTCCTAACAACAGAACTAATCCTTACTGGCTTGGGAAGGGTCCCAGGAGGGAATGAGTATTGACCACTCAAAGGGCTTTGGACCAGAGAGGGAATAGTGGTGAGACGGCATCAAAATCATCTGTTGACAGGATGGAAGTGAACCAGCAAATTGTAATCAATTTAATGGCCAATGAACACATTGATTGTATATGGTAAGTTGGTACAACTTGCTAAATTGATACAACCATTAATTGGTACACTGGGGCTAGGATTAAAGGAAATGCCAGGGCAAGCAGACAGGTGAACGAGATAGGTACCATCGAAAAGTGCAGGGTTCTTTAGCTTGATCTTAACAGAAATGAGTGTTAGAAAACAAAACAATGACATTTTACATACTCAATATTACAGAAACAGGGTATGTCACTTTAAAGCTATTAAAGGTATAAAAATATTTTCAAAATCCAGAATAATAACTGAATATCTTCCCAATTTTTATACTCAGTATGTACTGGTTTGGTCAGTTTCATCCCTATTTCTAGAATTCTAGTCCAGTCAGGCAGAAGACCCTTAATGCCCCCTGCTGGGGCCTGTGTGAACTCTACCAGAGCCATTACCTGTCCCATCCATGATGTCTGAAGGTTGGAGCACCTCATATGAGCAGGGATCTCTGGGCATCGGGACGGGCTCCATTTCGGACAGGGCAGGCAGAGACAGCTGGCTGGCGCTCAGGGACTGTCCGTTCTCCAGGGAGTCCTCCTCGTTGGATATGGAGAGCTCCCCATCTGCCAGGGAGAGGAAGTGCCATTAGACAAAACCTGCCTCTGGAAGGGTGACGCTTGGGCCTGCTAACTGAGTTTCCATCTTTATCAACATCTGCACTTGTTGTTTTGCTTTTAACACATGGACTTTATTTTTAGAGATGTGCCATCTAACCACCAGTGCAACAATTTCCAATAATCTTCAGCCAGTTGCTTCTTTTCTCTACATCTTTCTAACCATAACCCACCATATTTTGTCACTTTTTATTTTTTTAATGAAAGTGAATAAAAATTGATTTTTCTTCATAATTTTGAAAAATTGGAAAAACTGAGCAGACCTCAAAGATTGGAAAACCCAGATTAGAAATTCCTACACCAGGGAATAAAGGATTCCTTATCCTTTATTAATAAGTGCCAGAAGCATGGGACTCCAAGGCTTAGGAAAAAACTCATTCTGCCTTCTCTCTAAGTCTGCCCAAATTCCCTCTGAAAGGTTACAGCCTCCAGAATGCAGGCAGTGCCTGAATTCTCTGGAGCTCACGGGTGCTCCTGGGTCCTGTGGGCCAGCAGACTCTGATCTGGCTTATAGCTCAGCAAAGCAAGGGGCATCCAGTTAACACCATGGGGAGGATCAAAAGCTCCTGCACAGTGGCCATTTGTCAAATCAACCCCCTATCTCCAGTGTGATTTCATCCTAGCCCAGGGGAGTCCTCCATAACTAGACACTGAAATAAAATTAGATTTTAAAGGGACTGAAGGCTGTTCTAGTAAAATGAGCAAATACCCAGATGAAAGACTCTTGTGTGATGATGCTTCGTCAGAACACAGAAATTAGTAAAGCCATTACCTGGCTTAGAACTGGAAGGAAGATGACTCACTTGTAGAAATGAAACAGTGAAATGACTCCAAGGTTAAATTTGGAAACACAGTCCTTTTGCTCTGCCCTTCTCAAGGCTGTAACTTGATCCACAATGATACGTGGTGACAAAGGATCCTCTGTCAGCCCCTCCCCCAATTATCTATGACATGTATGTTCAATAGAGTGACCTACACATGAGTAGGCTTTAGATAACATATGGCTCAAGGACATGTGATTTTTTAACCTGAAAGTCCTATAAACATAGAGAAAACATAACGGAGAGCAAAAAATCATCTGAAACAGAAAACATAAAGCATGGTACTCAAAGAGTGTTGTGTGTCTGTTTCCTTTCTTTTCTCATTTAACCTTTTTATTGCCACAAATGATAGCAGTCATTACTATAACCGATTAGAGGCCTGGTGCATGAATTTCATGCATGGGGGAGGTTCCCGCAGCCCAGCCTGCACCCTCTCCAATCCTGGACCCCCGGAGATCAGGCCTAAACCGGCAGTTGGACATCCCTCTCACAATCCAGGACCTCTGCCTGCTAACTGCTCACCTGCCTGCCTGCCTGATCACCCCTAACTGGCCCCCCTGCCAGTCTGATTACCCCTAACCGCCTCTGCTGGTCAACCTGATCACCCCTAATTATCCCCCTCTTCCTCCCCCCCTCCCCCAGCCTGGTCACCCCTTACTGCCCCTGCTGCCAGCCTGGTCATCCTTAACTGTTCCCCCCTGCCAGCCTGATTGCCCCCAACAGCCCCCATCCACTAGCCTGGTTACCCCCAACTGCCCCCCCTGCTGACCTGGTTGCCCCATGCAGCTTGGTGTTCAGTCATTTGGTCATCCCTCACTAATTCCCTTGCTGCCCTTGTGGCCCCACTCAGCCTGTTCGGTTGTTTTGGATGTGATGGCCTCTGGCTCTTTATATATATGGATTAGCAAGATGATTACTCTTCTTCACTAATAGGAGGAGCAGCACAGACCCAAGGCTAACGCCATGGAGAGGCCACAGCTGAACTGAGGGTCTGTAGGGTGGGAAAGGCTGCAGTACAATGGTCCCTGCACAGCATCCCATCATGTATGGTTTCGTTCCTCTTAACATGCTTTAATTTTGCATGTTCAAACCGATGCCGTGGGAAGTAGCTCTGCTTCAAGTTCCCAGTTAGTAGAATAACGACACAGCTACCATTCAGATTAATATATCTCTTGGAAACCACTTTGATTTTTTATGTTCCAAGTGTAATAAAAGTCCTGGATAAGACGGGGTTTCAGCGCTATTGCCAAGTTCTGCTTTTTTGGGGCAAAGACACAGTAGAATGATTGGTGCACATTTTAACAGAAATGCCACAGAAGCAACACAGGGAAGAAAGATACAACTGCAGTTGGATTACTTTAGACTCTGTGAGCTTTGGTTTCACCCAGGCTTAATGCCAAAGGCTTTGTTAGTAACAGATTAGCAAAATCACTCATTCCTCTTGCGTCTATTAACCCCTCCAAAAATTTAGCTCCCTATGAATTAAAAGTACCTTTGTTAAGTCACAAGGCCCATACCACTTTAGAGAAGAAACAACCTTGGGAATTCCATTCATAATCTCTACATATACATTTCCATTGAGAAAGATTAAAAACAGGAGAAAAAAGGAGAAATAAGACACTGATCATATTGCCACCCTAACAGATACAATTTCTTTTTCGGTATATATTTTTCATAGTTACATTCTTAGTATGAATCAAATTTTGTGTCTTTCTTTACTATTATAACATTACAACTTGCAGAATTATCATCTTAATGATTAAATTAGATGAATAATACTGATATTTATCCAGCCATCTCCCTATGGTTGGTCACAAAGGGATTTCAAATATTTCATGCTATTATGAAAAAAGAAAGTTCTACTGACCACCTTCTTTTATAAAATCTCTCCTGCCATTAGAATTTTCCCCCTTTAGGAGAGATTCCAATAAATGAAATTTATGTGTATTAATAATTTAATGTCTAGTGACACATACCTGGATCTTCTGAATTTTTTTTCTAAAGGTTTATTTTTCTTTCTATTTACACAATAGCAATGTACAGATCACACTAATTTCCTAGCTTTTGGTCATTTCTTCAACATTAATGTTAATAATCATGTTTTACCTATGTATGCATGTGTGCATGTATATATATACATATATTGAGTATGTATAAATATACACTACATATGTATACATATTTAGTAGACATAATTAAACTATTCAATATGTACAAAAATTCATTATTAATATAATTGATGACCAAGATTGGTAGTGACAGAAGTAAAAACATTTTATTTGGGTTCATGTGATATGGGCATAGAACAATGCTATCATTAAGTAACTGTTATTTAAAATTCTTATTATGGCATTTTTGAACATACACAAAGTAGAAACATTAATATAATGGGCCTATTATACCCATCTTCTAGGCAAGGAACCAGGGGGATTCCTAATGCTTGGTGGTTCCAAGTTTGATGAACTTGAAGACCATTGAGACTGAAGAGAGCAGTAGGGTAGAGTGGAGGTGTAAAATGTGTCAGATGCTGGCATATCTAACAAGGAAAGCAGGTCACAGAGTGGGGAGAGAAGGGAATGGTGATGTGGATCTAAGATACAGAACAGGCCATGATGCTGGGCCAGCCCGATTCTCCTCTTCTTGTGCAGCGTAACGCTGATAATACCAAATCAAGGACAAGGAAGGGAAAGGTGAGAGTGAATTAGCTCAATTGATAAACTCCTGTTGCGAGCTTATAATTAACAACAAGCATCACACACCAGAAACTGCCATCCTCACAATGACCTTGTGAGCAAGGCTGGCATTCTCTATGAGCTCCTTGGGACACGCTTTATGTTTTGTAGAAACTACAGACCTGCCTGCTTCCTCCAAAGCTCCGGGCTTCCCCACACCCTGCCCTGCCTCTCCTCTCATAAGCCAGGCAGGCATTGTGCCAAATGCCAAGGAGAAAATGGACATGGCTTGGGGAAGAGAGTGGGGCAAGATGTGGTGAAAAATGCAGAAAAGCAGGCAGAGAGAGAACTAGTGTGAGCCAGCTGGTATGAGCCAGGGAAATGAAGGCAGATCAAGAAGTCCTGAGAAGTGGCTGAAAAACAACAGCAAAGGGTGAAAGAAGATAGAAGACATGTGCTTAGGCGACATGAAGACCACATAGGAAAGGTGGATCTTGTCTTGCATTGAATTCTTAAAATATTCTAAAAGTACAATTTATGCAAAAGTTGTATTCCAGAAGATTGGCCTAAAAGCATCACTTGAATTTTTGTTTGCTTGGGGATTAAATCCATCCATAACTGGATCTCACCTTGTGACTACATTCCAAGTGGTTTTTTAAAATTACTGTTTTGCTATTGTCACTTATTTTGCTTTAGTAATACTCTCTAGTTTTAGGGTGATTGACATCAATTTCTGACCAATTAAGTTTTCTCAAACCTTAAGGTAACTAAAGTTCTTTTTTATTTTATAAAATAGGTAAATGTCACCATAAAATCCAATGAGCAACTAGAATTCTTTCAGGTTCTTGTGGATACCTGTGTAAAAACAGTTTCTACTTTTTAAAAATGGTATGAAAGATGGACCTTTTTTTCTGGATAGGCTCAGGGTTTATGATACTTTGCAGATTAAGATAAAAAGTATTAATTTTAATTTTAAAAAACAAAAGTATTATAGTATAAACTTAAATTCACCTGAATCTGGTATTTTGGATATGCTTTATGGTTTATATATTAAAAAATTTATATTTAAAAATGTATTTCTAGTTGGACAAGAACTCCTTACTTAATAAATAATAGTTGAATGTGACTATAAAGAATTGCTTTATGAGGGCATTTGCTAGGGGGTGGGAGCTGCTGGGGAAAAATCAATGGGGGAAAAAGGAGACTTATGTAATACTTTAAACAATAAAGAATTTAATTTTAAAAAAGAACTGCTTTATGTCTACATATTGAACCATTACTGCAGTAAATTTCTCAAAGATAAAAAAACTAAAAAGATTTCAAAGCTAGAATAAGCAATATAAATAAACATGTGTTCACATATACATATTTATTTTTCAGGTTGTGTAAAAGAAAAGCAAAATGGATAGTTTTGACTTACTCATATAACTTTTTGGTTTTTAATTTGCAAAATAAA